TCTTCCTCCTTTCCTCCCCCATTCACACACAGGTTCTCTCAAAATTCAACAACAACAACAACAACAACAACAACAACAACAACAACAATAACAAGGAAATTAGAAACAACTCAAATGTCCATCAACAGGGAAATAGGGTATATCCATAAAATGAAACACTACCTACCAACAGAAAGTAGTGAGCTCTTGATATATATAATAATACGGATGAATCATAAAATATTACATGCTGAGTGAAAGAAGGCAGACAAAAACTGAGTACATAGTATATGATTCTACTTACATTCATCTTAGAAAATGCAAACTAACCTGCAGTGCTAGAAATAAGACCAGTGGTTGCCAAAGGACAGGATGGGAGTATTACAAAGGGGCAGGAGGATACTTTTTGGGGTAAGAGATATGTTCATTATCTTGATTTTGATGATAGTTTCACAGGTGGACACATGTCACATGAACCCATCAGATTATACATTTCAAATATGTGCAGTTGGTTGTATGTCAATTCTACCTCAACAGTTTTTTTTTTTTTTTTTTTTTTTTTTTTTTTTTTTTTTTTTTAAGAATCAAAAAACTGGGACAAGAGGGAGAACAAAGAGGATAAGTTTCTAGGCAGAATAGGCTAAACTTGGAGGACCTCAGACCCTGAGGAGAGAAAACCTCACAGAAAGACCATTGAGAAAAAGAGGTATAATTATACTCCGTTTAGGAAGAGGAGTACATTGAGGCAATGGGCACCCCCACCCCAAGAAGAGTGACAGGGCTACAAAGAAAGATCCAGGAGAAGCAGGAGGAAAGAGAAAGCTGACTGCTTGGGTCTGCACTGAAAAGAGGGAAACCAGGTTTCTCTAGGATTGGTTGCCCAAGCCAGTTCAGCAGTCATAGTAGGCAGGGAAATGAGAATTTAGGGTGAACACTAATATAAGGGGGCAGGACTCCCTTAAACTTGCCACAGCTGGTTCTAAATCTGACATCAAAAGCACCAATCCCCAGTATCTTTCTTTACTTCTTTACTGTGTGTGGCCCTAGATGGGGGCCACACACCTGAGGTGATGTAAGCCCAAGGCAGGACTGTGAGAAACAGGTAGAAGCCAGATGAGCAGGGGCTGGTGAACTGGAGGAGGCACTTCTGGGGGTAGTTCTGGTTGTTGGGTTGAACAGCTCCCCTCCCCATGGGAGCTACTGGGGATAAGACAAGACGGTGGAGTAAAGAAACCTTGCTGCCCTCAAGGCTCCAACATCAAGGTTGGGGGTTGGGCCATCTAGGAAGAGGCTGGGCCACCTGAGGCAATGCAAGTTTGTCTAGCAGGATAGCAGGAGGTAAGGTCACCAAACGTTTCCTTGGGGGGACTCCCTCTGGCACCTCAGAGCTCTGACCCCAAAGACAGTTCTTGGCACCATCCAAGCCCATGCTCTTTGGCTGACACCAAGCTAGAGATAAACTGCTTAAATCCTACAGGAAGGAAAGGTCAGCTTTAGGGTTTAAATTTGCCTCTAGGGCTTTTAAATTTGCCTCTAAATTTTCAGTAGATTAGGAAAGGCTGATGGTCAACACATTTTTGAGATCTTAGTTCTTCCTTTTGAGTGTTTTGCTGCAGCCATTATTCCATCAAAACAAATCAAAACTAAACCATGTTTGTGAGAAGAGACTCATAAATAATGGTATGTTGGTTATTTCCTAATTTATTTCTGTCCTTAATACTTACTAGGGAAGCATAAGAGGGGACTTGTCATTTAAGAAACCTACGGAGGTGGAAGCCTCTTTCCTTCCCTTTTACTTCAAATTGATTTTAGCATTAAAATGAGAAAAAACATAGTCTGATAGAAGAAAACCTTTCATAGATTACTTAGTGGGCCCTTAGGCAAATCACTTACTTCAATGAGCCTCAATTTTTGAAACTGTAAAATGAGGGGGTTGGTTTAGGTCTGGGTGTGTGGGTCTAATAAACCATTCATTCATTCATTCATTCATTCAGTATTTGAGAACCTACTGCATCCCGGGCAGTATCACAAGCACGAGGCTACAATGATTAAAAGAGAGGCAAGACCTGTACACTACAACTTGATTCTCAAGAGACCAAAAATGAAGGGGAACCCAACAAGATGTCAGGTAGTGATAAGCACTAAGAAAACACAAGGAGTGCCTGGGTAGAGTGCCTTACTTTACTTTGGGGGGCGGGGGAGGGAGGGTGGTCAGGGATGTGAGGGCTGAGTAGTCTGGAATGATGGGAAAGAATAAGCCACTTGATTCCCAGGAGAGGCAACCCCATGGGCAAAGTCCTCAGGTGGGAAGAGCTCATTTGGTCCTCTTCATAGGTAAAGGAGAACCTACTCCTCTTTTTCATTTTATATCCTTCCTCCAAGTAGTCTGCATTAATTCCATTTACATGTATTTATATAGAGCTTTTTAAAGAGGAACAAAAAGGGGCACCTGGGTGGCTCGGTCGGTCGGTTAAGCGTCTGACTCTTGGTTTTGGCTCAGGTCATGATCTCATGGTTCGTTAGTTCAAGCCCCACATCGGGCAGTGTGCTGGGGGTGTGGAGCCTGCTTGAGATTCTCTCTCCCTCCTCTCTCAAATAAATAAATAAACTTAAAAAAAATTTTAAAGAGGAGCAAAATGTTTCATTTGAACAACTTATTCCAGATAGGCTTTCTCCTCTACATGACTCCTTTGTTATTCTCAAGTTTCTGTCCTCATAGTTATAAATTTTCCCACTTATCCCAGGCAGGAGTAAACAGCATTTAAATTAGTGTTTTTTGAATTTTATGACAACGACCCATAGTAAGAAATATATTTTACATCATGACCCAGTGTTTACATAAAACCAAAGCAAAAGTTTTTAAAACCAAGTTTACTGTTTTATTTCATTTCTTTTTTTAAATGTTAAGGTGATTTCATGGGTAACTTACAGTATGAAAAACACTATTCTAAACCGACACTGGCTATTAATTTTGTTATTAACAAACCAAAAAATGGTAAAATTGATTAAACAACCTCAAAGGCTCTCCCCTCCCCCTTTTTTTCTGTGCACATACTTGCTTTAAAGAAATGGGTTTCAGGTTTTTCTGCATAGCTTGTGGAGGAAATGCCCAGAAGGGACATTTTCAAGGGGGCTGGGGTGGAGGGAAGGGAACCCAAATAATGCAAATTGTTCAACAGGTGAGGAGACACCTTTGGTTTCAAAGATTGCCCAAGAAGGAAAGATTCAGTCTTCATAGTAATAGGCTGTGTGTGTGTGTGTGTGTGTGTGTGTGTGTGTGTGTGTGTGTGTGTGTTGGGGGAAGGGATGGTGTTAAGTAATTTATTAAATTTTAAGTTCTTAGAGGGGAGTCAGTCTGTACCCTACCTCCCCTCACCATAATTCAAGTCTCACATGGACAGATGTGTAACTGTAGCACAGAGAATCAGACCTTGCATTTAGCACATAGTACACAGGTGCTCAATAACATTTTGTTTAATAGTTATTAAACAAAAAATATTAAATAATGGGGTTTGTTGTCATCATCAAATCCTAACTTTGCACGTACATAAATTATTATATTCTCCTGGAATGTATTAATATCATGCAATAGTAAATGAAATGTGTTTATCTTCAAGTCATTGTTTAAGTCCAAGGAGCTTAATCAGGTATTTTTCTCAGACACTAAGTGGGAAAAGGATGTTTTCCATTGCAAGGTATAATACATAGAATTGGCTGTAATGGAAAGATTCCACGTCTGCTAGTGGCCATGGTAAACAGCTGGGATTAAAATGAGTGTGTTAATTTAATAGGTAGTTTCTCAAGGGACACTAACCAGTGGGCTCTGTCAGCCAAGGGCTCTCTCTGATAGAAACCATGCCAATTTCTCTGTGAAACGTGGTTAGTGTCCTCACCCCTGAAGTCAGAAGTGCATGCACCCAATTTCCAGTAGCCCCAGGGCCCTGGAGCAGAAAAATTACACCTGCAAGCCAGCATTTTCCCACACTGCCACACAGCTGCCACACACAGAAAGCGGCTTATTGAAACCGTGTGCCCTTCAGCCCCATTTAGGGACATCATTAACGATTTCAAATTACAACTGTTGCTTTATCTCAAAACAGTGATAAATAGCGGAGCTACATTCCTGACGCTTTTAAGTCATTGATTTGCTCTCCTCTCAGGGGCAAAAAAGATGTTGAGACAAGTGCAAACCTGCCCGAGCTTCTTATTATAGATGCAGCCCTCCTTCTCTCCCTGTCTCTGTTCCACTTCAGCACCCCTCCCTCTCTGGATTTCCTGAACTGAGGCAGTGTGGCCTCCGGTAAGGAACTGCAAGTGGCTCCTTCTCAAAACAAGGAGGGCTTCACCAGAGAGGCTGAGGCGACAGAGGCAAAAACCACTCTCTCACCCTAGCAGGTCAATGTCCCCCATTCCCCAAGTCAACAACAGGTCGGGTTTCAGAAAGGAACAAAGTCTCAGGGCAGGGCGGTCACCCATTCAAATTCAGGAGCATCTGCTTAAACGCGAGACGGAACAAACCCTGCTGCCATACCGGAGGTGTGGGCAGGCGAATGTGAGCGTGTGCACAGAGACAGACTATACATGGGCGAAACGTTAGTGGTAACGAAGGGAGACCCACCACGGTCGACAAAGCCACAACTATTACCACTTTAAATATCACCCGCAGGGCACTGGCTTCGGTGCCAAAATTTCCCCGGATTTATTTTCAGGCAAGTGACTCACAATCTCGTCTCCATAAGTAATTCCATTAAAATGAGTCGCCGGTTCCACTAACTCGACTTTCCGCTGCCCTCTGGCTGCCCCTCCCTCCTCTCCGCCCATCCTGCAAACCCAGACAGCTCACAGACTGAGCAACCGTACCCCAGGGTAGCCGAAGGCAGGCTCTCAAGCCCGGCCCCCACCCTCGCGGAAGGATGAATGGGGCCGCAGGCGGGTGGGAGAGCCAGGCGGACGCGTGCGGGCTGTGCGCGCGGTGTGTACGCGTGTGTGCGCGCGTGGGCACGCACCCCCGGCCAACTTACGGAGGTGGAGTTGGTCCTGGTTTGTCCCTGGTTCCGCACCTCCTGCTCCCGGAACTGCAGTCCAGCCAGATGCTTCTCCAGTGCCTCCCAGTCCATAGGGGGCACCGGGGGCTCCTCCGGGACACACGTCCCGCCGTCCGTGGGCTGAAGGCAGAGGATCCCAGTTGCCGGACCCCGGCCGCCGCGTCGGCCCCGCGCGGGCTGGGGCTTCTGGACCGCCCGGCGGGGGCCCCGAGAACCGCTGGGCCGGCCGGCCAACACCACCACGTTGCCATTGTGCCTGAGGTCCTGGGGGTCGTGCGGGTGGAGGTTGCCGTTGGGCACGGGGGGCGGCATGGCAGTGGTGGCGCCCTTGCCCCCGCCGCCGCCGCTGCGGGTCCTGGCGCTCACGTCCCCCGGCTCCCGGGCGGGACAGCGGTCATCCCGGTACCCCCGCTCGTCGCGCTCGTCCTCCTCTTCCTCCTCCTCCCCGTCCTCCTCCGGCGCCCACTCATCAATCACCTTCTTCTGGTAGACCGGGAAGGGCTCCTCATAGTCCTCCAGGGCAGACACCAAGTCCAGACTGCCCCCCGGCGACGACGAGGATTTGCACTCGGAGCAAGGGGTCACTTTGGTGGAGTTGGACTGCGAACTGGTGCGGCTGCTGCTGCTGCTGCTGCCGCCGGCGTCACTGCCTAGATCCATCCCATCCTCTCGGTAATCCTGGAGGGGAGGAGGCAGAGAGTGAGCTGCCGGGCCGAGCCTGCTCCGGCCCCCCGCCACCCGCCGCGAGCACCCCGGCCCAGTGCCCCGCGTCTGCCTGGTCGGAGGTGCACCCCCGAAGGAGGCCTGGGGACAGAGCCGGCACCAGCTTGAGGCTTCCCTTCGCCCACCGCCCCCCCCCCCAACCATACTTCCTCCCAGTAACTAACCCTCAGATTAGCAAAGGGGGTGTCCAGCCACCAGCGCTCACACTTTCCATAAGAGGGGCCCCGGGGCGCGCATGGACTTTGTTGTAACCATTTTACGCCGGGAGCACCCCTGCACCCCGCCCCAAGGATTCTCCGAGAACCAGACACTTTCCCAGAGAATTATAATTCCCTGGGGGCGGGACCGAGAAGAAGGTGGGCGGCTACTGAATTCGCACCTCGTTCCGGGCGCCGAGACCACCCCCCACTCGGCCCCGCCTCGCCCCGCCCCCGCCGGCGGCTGGGAGCCGGCTCGGTTCGCCAGCTGAGCTTTACTTTCTAAGGAACCGCAGGCAGCTCGGAGGTCTCACTCCCGCCTCCGCGCCTCCCTGACCCGCCCCTCCTCGGCCCGCCGGAAGGCTCGGGGTGGGGGTGGGGGGCGCTGTCAGCTTTCGCAGGAGAGGGTGGCTCTCCCCACCCCAAAAGGTGTGCGGGGCCGGGCGCGGCGGCGGTAGCTGCAGGCGCCGCCGCCGCCGCCGCCGCCGCCCTGGGGGAGGGAGGACGCGCCCTCCCGGCGGCGGAGCCGGTCCCGCCACCGAGCATGCCCAGAGGCTGCCGGGCGCGGCGCAGTCCGTTCTCCCGGTTTTTGCGGCTGCAGTCTCAGGCGGGAGACGGGCGGGCTTGGGTTCAGAGAGGTCGGGAAAAGGCCGAGGGAAAGGGGCTCGGGGCGTTAGGGATGCAGACCTGGCCAATTAACAGGGGCGGCACCCTGGGGAGGGTGGCGGGTGTTAACCCACAGACACACACACACAAAGATTTTCTGGGCGCGTTTCAAGCCCTCTTTTCGGGGCTCGTTATTCTGCCTTAGCCTCCCGGTACCCCAAAGCGCGGTCGCGGCGCATGCTAACCCACGCGGAAGTCCCCGAGTGATCCGGTGAAGGACCTCCCTCCTCCCACACGCGCACAGACACTAGCCCTCGTGGGAGCCCGAAGTGACGTGTGCTGGGTGGTCATGCACCATCATTTCCCTTCCACCTTCCTCGGCCACTTCCTCTCCCTCCACCGCCCTGCTCGAGTCGCCTTGCCCGCGCCCCTTCCAAGTTCAGGCTGTGGGCGGAACCTGTTGCTTTAGCTCACGCTTCCTTCCCGCTACCGGCCGCACGCTGAGGATGACCTCAGAGAGGTGTGTGTCTGGGGAATGGAGAGCTAAGTGGAAGATGGGACTGTTACCTGGAACGTTGGTGAAGAATCGGTTCTAAAGGTTTAGGCGAACCTCTAAAGTCCCTTTTGGCCGCCTCCAATCAAGGAGACATTAAAGGAAGGGAAGACGTGGATATCAGGTGACCTGCTCCTGGCACTTGCACTGACTCTGCGTCCTTAAATTTTTCTGGAAACCGAGTCAAAGAAACCTATGCTGGGTTTTTCGGAATGCACACTGGTTCCCTGAATTTGGCAGCTCATCTCATTAGGGACAAGTTTCCTTGGAATGAAGATACCATCACTTGGAAAGCATAGATGGGTCATAGAGCACCTTTTCAGGGTTAGAAATTTCCTGTGAACCAACCAGTGCTGACTTGTAAGAACTGGGAAACAAGGAAATGCCCTCTTAAATGTTCACAAACACACATGTGAGGTGACGGATGTGTTAACTAGGGGATCCTTACACACTGTATGCTTGTGTCAAATAACCATAGCATGCATTTTAAATATTTAACAATTTTATGTGTCAATTATACCTCAGTAAATCTGAAAAAATTCAAAAAGAAAAAAAACCGAAACAACCCTAGCACTTAATTTTACAATGGATTAGGGGAAAACCAGTTTCCCTGAGCTTCCAGATTTGGGCTGTTACTAATTATTCCCAGTGAATTCTAGCTTGGACCAGGCCACTACCCTGGCTTTGCACCCTCCAGAGGGAGGACCAGGGGAATGCTTGGAATTCTTTAGTAGGGAGTGGCTGCCATCCTGACTTTTCTTCTAGGTCCTAATTGGGACTTGGTGCAGAGACCCTTTGTTTAAGTGATTTCAGTGAAGTGTGACTCTTTCCAGTCAGTCCTAGGTAGGCCTGAGCCAGGGAAGATAAACTAATCTTTTAACGTGCCTGGAAGCAGCAATCTTAATGAATACAGGAAAAGGGGCCTCTGGTCTGGCCCCTTTACAGCTCTTCTGTAAAACAGGACTGATTATAATTTCAAATGTCTTTTATGGTAACATCTGTAAACAGCCTGCCTTGCGCTCCAAATATGGTTTGATTTTGAGGTTGCTGTGAAGCCCTGGGTCAGCTGGCTGCCCGTCCCCCACCCCCTGCCCTGTAGGATGGATGTGGCCCTAAAAGTGTTCAGAGATGTGGGTAGGAAACACCGGGTGCTGGGAACTAGATAGCTGCTTTTCAAATCACCATGTGAATTGGCAAGGGTTAGGTCAGGAAAAGCTCACTGCTCTGGGGCAGAACACAGGTAGACAGATAAGTATTCATCAACTGGAGTGATAAAAAGTTGTGGTCTCAGTCCCAATTTTTAAACATTAGGACCTCCTCAGCCCCCCACCCAGATTCCCTCCTGGGCTCCTACTCATCTCCCCTGCTGCCCAGATGGTCTGTGTTCAGGGAATGCAAAATAAGGCCTTAGAAAAACATTTGGCAAGGTAAATCCACTGCCAAAAACGCATGGCATTTCAAAGCCAAATATCTCTGAATTATCTGTCCTTTTAAATAATTTTCTGACCAGATATTCTGGATCAGATGGGAAAGTACCAGGTTTCGTTTTTTCTTTTCTCTTCATGCAAGGTGCCTGGCTAGCCCAGTTTCCATTCTGTTTCCAGCCTCCCATCTCCTGCCAAGAACTGTCCCATTTTGGAACAGAAAGCCCTGCCAATTCCTAGGCCGGCGACAGTCTACAGATATGTCCAGCAGGATGGAGAGATGATTTGGAAAGTGATTGAAAGGTCCTGTCTTCCTGTTTATAGGACCGTGTCCTCAGGTTAGGAGCTTGTGGCTTACAGACTTAGATTTTGTCCCCTGCAACCTTTGTAAATTAGACATCAGAGATGTGAGTCAAGTGGGTGTCATCGCAAACCAGCACCTTCACCCATCAATCACCCCAGTCTGGACCACTGTCCTGAAATTACTAAACAGTCTCCCTACTAGCTATGCCCATTCTCTGAATGCAGCCAGAGTGCCTCTCTGCAATGCAGGTCTCTCCCAGCTCCTTTAAAGTCCCCTTGGCTCCTCAACGCCCTTAAAGGAACTGCTTCCTGCCCAACCTCCCCCCATTTCTTTTGGCAAATTTCTACTTATCCTTTATGTCTAGGCTTAAATGTCACTTCCTCCGGGAAGGCTCCTGATTCTCTGTACCGCCCGCCTAAAAGGAAGCAGGTAACTTTCCCATGCTCCAGAGATATTTATTGCACTCATCATAAATGCTGCATCTACGTTGCTGTTTAATTGCATGTCTTCTCTACTAGACTCAAGAAAACCATTTTCTGCCAAGACCCAGGCCACACATACGTATAAAAATATTTAAAAGTTTCATAAAACCCTTATTTGTAAATCCTATCCTAATTCATTTAGAAGAAAATTTGCTCACACTTCACCATTGACTTTATAACCCTTAAATGGATCAGTGCTCCTACTGGGAAAACATACTCTAGAGGAGTAAATACTCTAAGGGAGTAAATACTCTAAGGGAGGAGCTATTTCTCTGTTTTGTTCATGATAACTGGAATGGAATAGAAGCTTCATCAATATTTGTTGCTGCAGGGGCACTGGGGTGGCTCAGACGGTTAAGTGGTTATGAGTCCAACTTGAGCTTAGGTCATGATCTCATGGTTCTGGAGTTCTGACCCCGCATGGGGCTCTCTGCTGTCAATGCAGAGCCCACTTCGGATCCTCTGGCCCGCCCACCCCCCCCCACACCTCCCCTGCTTGTGCTCTCTCGCTCAAAAATAAAAACATTAAAAATATATATTGGATGCTGGGATTATTAATAATAACAACATTTAATTCTCAAAAACTCTATGAAGAAACTAGTATCCCCATGTACAGGTGAGATTGCTGAAAATAGTTAGATTAAGTAACACGACCTAATGTCAAAGAGCTGGAAAACTAGGTGGCATAGCCAAGATTTGGACCCAGGTAGCTTGGCTCCAAAATCTTGGCTGCTAGTCACTCAGTGAAAGGCTCACTACCCTTTGGTCTGCATGCATATGGATAAATTCACAGAGCAATATGTCAGAAAGGGCTCCTTGCAGCAAGTTCAAAGGAGTTCTGAGTCTCCTGCCCTGCAGGGGCTCCTTGGGCAGTATTTCTGTCTATGCAGAGGAGAAGGCAGCTGGCAAGAGCAGCTGTTCCCTGATGCACACATGTGCTCCACCTCCTCAACTGTCAACAAGTTCAGCGCTATTCGGCACGTTGGGAGACTTAATTGTGTAAAAGAAGAGTACAGACACCCTGGAAAATGAAATTTCCAATTGTATGAACTACATGCTTTTAATTTCCCCGCAAAGCAAATCCTTTCAGAAGGTAGCCACCATGAGATTGGGATTTTCATTTTTGTCATGAACGGAAAACTGGAATAATATTCCAAGGGTAGGGATGACAGCATGTTCCTAGGAGGTCAGTGCTATTTATAGGATGTTAATCTGTAAAGGCAACATTTGAGAAAAGGCGTGACTGAAATATTTAAATTGTAAGGAGTATAGATAGCTGGGAAAAAGGTTTATTTGCAAAAGTCCCAAACTAATTCTGAAATTATTGCCCCTAATGCTGAACCTTCTTTCTCTAAGTTGTGGCATTTAGAGTAATAAAGAAATGGCTGGCAAAGAGGTTTGTATTTCATCTTTATTGCATGAATTACATGCAAGTCACATGCAGTATACAGATGCTCTCCTATTTCATCACCTGAATTTAACTACATGGTAATATGTAGCAGCACTGTGGGGCCAAGTGTCCTGGATATAGAACATCTGGGCTTAGTTTCCAGCCCTGTCTCTAACCAACTTTGTGAC